AAGAGCAATGATTATCAGTGTGAGTATCTTCTTACGAACACAACAGCATATTACACAGGGCGCACTATAAGTTTCCGGAACTGCCCACTTACATAAACAATATTTATAAAGTAATTATCACTAATATCAGGTTTCTTACCACGGTATGACTTCTTTTTATTTTCCCGATATTTCGGAACGGTTGCACGCTCCATGTAGTGGAGCGTGCTACGGTTATTTAGTGAATAACCACGAAAGCCTTAAAATCTATATATGTATTTATAAAGTAATTACAACATTGGTAAATGAAACTCTTTGGCTGTAGAATACAGTTTGTTTCATCTGACTGTCACTTGTTTTTACATTGTCGCGTCATTTTAGAAATTCGTTGTCTACATCACTATGGATTTAACTCGTGAAAATTTTCGTTGTACGATTTTCTACGACTCTAAATGTAATTCAACAGCTCAGCGGAGCTTCACTCGGCTTCAAACTGCTTTTGACGACGAAGCACCATGCAAGATGACTATTTATAGCTGGTTTGCAGAATTCAAACGCGGTCGTGTGAACCTCAGTGACGAATTTCGTGATGGTCGCTCGTCCACTGCTGTGAACAACAAAAACATCGATACTGTGCGCCGTATGATCAAAACAGACAGGCATGTGACATACCACGAGATTTGAGCATCTTTAGGCATAGGCACGAGTCAAATACAATCAATACTACACAAACAAATGTTTGGGCATGAAAAAGTTGTGTTCTCGGTGGATCCCACACAATTTGACTAAGGCTCAAAAAAACGGATCGCGTCACTTGGTGCAATGCCATGCTTACCAGATTCAACGAAGGGGCGTTAAATTTGGTGTGGGACCATAGTAACAGGTGACGAAATATGGATTTATAGTTACGATCCCAAAACAAAGCAGCAATCGAGCATATGGGTCTTTCGAGATGAGCCGAAACCAACCATAATGCCGCGCGAGCAAAGTGCCTCTAAGCGGATGATTGTTTCTTTTTTAATAAAACTGGACACATGGCTACTGTTGCTTTGGAGAATCGTTGTACCGTGAATAGTGATTGGTACACGACCATTTGTTTGCCGGAAGTTATTGACAAACTCCGTAAAAATAACCGTAAACGCCGTATCATCTTGCACCATGATAATGCCAGTTCTCACACAGCTAGACAGACAAATGAATTTTTTGAAGGTGAACAACGTTGATCTTATGAGCTATCCCGCGTACAGTACCGACCTGGCACCTAGTGACTTTTATTTGTTTCCAAAAATTAAGAATCAGAATCAGCGGAGAACGATTTTCATCACCTGAAGAGACTGTCGAAGAGTATGAAAAATATGTTTCAGAGATTGTCACGGAGGAGCGGCGTGTTTTCAAAATTGGTTCATTCGTATGAAAAAGTGCATCAACATATTAATATTATTTTTTTCTTATTCATGCCGGAAACTTACAGTGCGCGACACGTATTATGAAGCTTGTTTTACAATCAATAAATATGTTATTGTCTCAAAAGTAGATCTATTTTTTAATACATACATATTATGTACAGATTGGAAAAACATCTTTCGCCTCCTCCATAAATATCTTCATACTTGCGCGTTTATTCTTATATAGTACTTTTAATCTGGCCTATTTTAAGAATATTCTCAATGGAGATAAGTATGTAGAGGTTTACCTCTTCCCATATCTCCATCGACATTCGCGGTATTTTAGTAGCAGTAGTACAATTTGAGAAATAATTCGTCTAGGGAAGTGTTGCCACGTTACTTATTTCAGCCGCTTAGTGACGTGAGCTGCGTGCGCGTTCCGGTTTGGAAAGGTAAAGGGTGTTGGTGATTTTATAGGCACATGGGACTTGACAAGGTATGTTACGGTGACAGGCGCAGTGGCAGTGCCCTCAGATCTTTGCGATTTAAAGCTTTGAGTGGCACTGCAACTGTTAGTATTCGTCCCGTCTCTTGGTATGTAAGTAAAAAATCATAACTAATGACAAAATTCTCTATTGGTTCTAAGAATGATACTCGTATTGAACATATATTATCTGTAATCCTTCGGTGACCTAGTCCACAGACTTAGGAAAAATTTGAATTTCACTATTTTCTTCACAAAAAGTGCAACCATTATAAATCAGATATTACGCTACGGAAGTAATTCCTCTGTGAAGTTACAAACTTTAAATGCAGCATCCTTTGTTCAGCATCGCGCCAAGAAGACGTTGGATCCGACCAGAGTCTTTCTGCCAGGGCACCTAAACGCGGCCATAGGCGGCTGTCCAGGTTGCCCGCATCCGCTTCCTCCGACCAAAGTGCCGCTTCTGAGCCTATAAATGTAATAATTGTTTAATTTTTAACCTTCAATCGTATTACTAAAGACCACTTTTCTGCCAGAACACGTTTTATCAGCACGTTCAAAAGCAGTACGGGGGGTGTTTCGCCCAGAGCAAATCACAATGCTGTTTAAGACTAGATGGAAGATGTTATAAATTTGAAGTAATGTGGTTATGATACAAAAGCACGCTAAATAGTACATTGTGTTTTCAGGGCGGTAAATAAGAAATGTTTTAATGACTCGAAGTTTGTAATTTTTTTACCGTGCGAGCTACATACAATGTTTTTCATCACATTTGCGAGGAAATTAATAATAATAATAATAATAATAATAACGCTCACACTCAACATAGCCCCGCACTAGGGAAACCCTGTGTCGCGGGTGCCATGGACACACACATAGACAACCACAAATTACACCCAAACTCATGAGGGAAATAAATGTAGGCCACACAAATATTTCTCCCGGCCCGGGAATCGAACCTGGGACCTCTGCGTGGCAGTCCGGCATGGTAACCGTTCGGCCACTGAGGCAGTTAAATAGAATGAGATATGAATGGTAAAGGTAGAAAAAGCTTCAAAATACAACTCGAACTAAAATGTGGCAAAAGGTAAAAACGCATACAGCCACGATGTATTAGATATAAAACAAATAATTCAAAAATACTAAAAATTCTGCAAACTGAATTTATAAATTATTTGTAAACTAAAGTTAAATAGCCAATGTTTAGTATTTCATATACTTCAAGCTCATTCAAAATACGTTCAGATTTTTCGAGCATAAAAAATTTTTGCTTAATCTTGATCGTAAAAGTGAAGTAAATTTCTAATAAATTTAATAATAACCTAGGGCGGTAATGAAGGTAATGAAAAAGCTTACGGCTGACTTTGCCTGCATATTATTATCATGATACTGTTTACGAGCAATGTGATAAAATATAATCCTTTGCTTTTATTTCTAACGTACATGCAAATATATATATATATTCCTATTTTCAATGGAATATTACAACTATGTTTTAAAATGATACTACGTAATATTTTTTTTATATGGCTAAGTGACATCTCATAACTGTGAAGTTCCATACTGAGCCAATGATCGCGCCTCAAAGTATGACCTTGGTCTTTACTTTTGCTGTTCCACGTTTTAGTAGACGCCATCTATACTGGAACCACAAATTGTGAAAACAACCCCCAAACCATATCAATTACACAATTCAAGATGAGGTAGTCAAACACAGGCTGCCTCTTATTTATATTTGCACAGACTGCGAAGCTTGTCTCAAATTTCTTAGGCACTTGTTATTTATTTATAAAAAGACCGTTTGTTATAATTACTAAAACAAAGGTCGAACACAAAGAAGAACACCTTCGATCTATCAAGCAAGCAAGATCTAGCAAGCATGATATTTCCACGCAAGCAACAGGGAACGTTCGCGGAGGACAGCACCACTGGCCAATCACAAGGCGCCCCGCGTGCGCGCAAGTCTCTCCGCAACAAACCGAAAGACTTGTGAACGCCTTTGTTCAGAATGCAGATTTACGCGTTTATTCAACGCAAGCGAGAGAAAAACGCTAGTGACGGACTCGGGAACCCGGCATTACGAATTTGTCTATTAGGTTGTTGCACATCTTTTTAATTTAACTTTTTTTACCGTACGCTATATGCGAGAAATCTAGGAAAATTTGCCTTCAGTCAACCTTCTCTTTAATAATTGTTTGTAAGTTTATTGTAATATTAACATAATTGAATATCACGATGTTTTAGTATTATTCTATTAGATATGAAATTATTCTTCGTTGTGTTCAGTCTTTATATAAATCTACTCGTCCGAAGAACAGAGTCCGATGTGATTATATAGCGAAAAGAATAAGTACGTTTCGAGAATAATTTCATTATTCAAACTAAGGCCTATGTAAAGGTGTTTTGAGAATTTATATATCTTGTTTCGTTTCGGAAATTATTAAATTGAACAACAGTCGATCTGACATCCACAGCGAAGAAGAACGAACGAAATGTACTAAGTCCTGAGAACAAGTAGTCTTGTACATAGATCTTTGTTCTACGGATGAGTCGAAATAATTACAACAAAATAGTGGAGTCATTTCACAAAATTTGAATATCATGGTAGGAGAAAATCGTGATATTAAAAATGGCCGTTTGTTTTAAGAAATCCTTCCGCAATCACCTATTACCAGAAGGTCTCCTCCATATTTACGTCATAATATTTTTATTTACGTCACTGTAACGAAACCATATTATTGTACTGAGTATCCATTGCAACGTATACCTACCTAAAATCAGATGACACCGTGAGCCAGCAATATCTGATGGATTGTGCTCATAAATAACCTTCCAAGATTTATAAGGGGTGCACCAATTTTCTCCTGTAAAGTTGTAGAATTTATTATTATATTATGTGTAAGTTTCATTATATTTACACTCAAACACAGTTGAACTTAAAACTCTATCTGTAGTAATGCCACTTATCATTTTAATTAATCCCACAACCTTAAAAAGCTCTTATTGCGTACAATGCAAAATAGAACTTGAACTTAATAACGTGCTGATTTGCTTTTTATTAATCGACTTCAAAAAAGGAGAATGTATATGTTACGCGATTGCTAGAGCATTCGTGCACCGATTTTGATGCTTTTTTTTTTGTTAGAAAAATAGCACCTCAGTAATGGTCACATTTTAATTTGAAGAAAATATTCCACCTTTAGGGGTGGCAAACTAAGGGATGAATCCTGTTTCGCGCACTTTCTGGTAGCTGATTTTAATAAAACTTGGCAATTAGATGTAATTACACGAACTTTTGAGGACGGTTTTTTTAAAGTTATAATCTTATTACAAACTTAACTGACATGCTCTCAGATAATATTTTTATGTACTCAAAACATTGAGTATATAACCAAAAATAGTGACGAAATAAGTCCCATCGATCCCTGGCCTCGAACCCATCATTACTAAACCTACCTTGCAAATTAATCTTCAAATCAAATATATATAATACTAGTAGACTACATCACTGACGTGGTATCGACTTGCATTTGGAGGGGTAGAATACCAAAAAATTGCAAAGGCAGTTGAACAGTAGCTCGATAGCTAGCAAACAAACACTAGCAAGCCGCTATTCTTTACTTTTAACAGAATATCAAACGTACAAAATCCTACCATTGACGCTATCGACACACAAATGAAATGTTTTAAAATTAGCAGATTTGTCGCTTGTCTTCGTTACATAATTTATCGTGTGAGAATTGCCTTAGTAATGGATACAGGAACATTTCGGTACACACATTTGTACGTTGAATACTTGTGAACGACTGAACTGTCCGTGGTCAATGTTATTCTATGATTTAGGGATTCAATGGAGTAACGCCAACTGCACACCTTCTTCGAGCCAACCGCCAAATCCGCAATCCAGATACAGTTGCTCCGGGTTTGAAAGAATCAGTTTGAATCCTTTATTCAATAATGTCCTGACTTGTACATCGCCGGAACCCGTCCAAATCTGGGGAACGTGCATACTTACTTTAAATGAAACCCAGAACCTTCTTTTTATAAAATCCATCTTTAAAAACTAACACTGAAAGGAAGAATTCTTATTTTAAATCCTTCCGGCGGTTTAGGACCGCAATGAAAAATAGTCACTATTACGATTACTTCTCGAATTGACTACTTCTTGAATTGACCATTTTTTAAATTGACTACTTCTTTAAATTACAATTTCTCATCCCCATACTTCTTTCTCTACTTGTCATGAGCAGAATCCGAGGGATTTCCTCAGCGCACTTTTAAGTAATCGGAGGAGAAACGGGACAAACTGTTTCGCTAGATCAAATGATATAGCTATTTACTATTAAATAATGGTCTAATAAAAAATATGTGATGCGCTTAGGGACATTGTCTAAACAATAAGCTAATAAGATAGGAAGTACTTCACTCGATCATATCCTGAAAACAGGCTAATATAAAAGTTTAAAATGAATTATTTAAGAATGAAATATGTAACTTATCACATAATTTTATACATCTCTTTAAGTACCCACTTAAAGAGGACCTGTGATATTTTGGTTTTCAACTGTTGCTATTAAATTCATATTTGTCCTAAAATATGAAAACTTCATAGCGGTTTAACGACACGCCGCACCGCAAGCTGTCCCGCCAGTTGCCATCGGGCGTTTGTTGACCTCGGATATGTGTCAAATTTTCTCCGCCTATTCTTAATTTATTTATATTAACTTTCTGCGCGCATGGTTAATCATACCTGACGAAATAGGGTCTATAAGCGTGATACCTAAACGGAGAATGTACACAAAAAAAAAATGCAACGAAGCAGTACCTGAATTATGTATTCCTTTACATCAAGATATTCCTCGACGGTATAGCTGTTCGTTAGCGTACTCGACCATATCACTAGAGGAATTTTTGTTTTGAACGCCTACAAAAAACCTGAAATTAACACTTCGTGCCCTCGGTATACACTTAGATGAAAGTAATGAACATAATAAATGAGAGATGATGAGAATCAAATATGCCTAAAAGTTATTAAAAAGAATCTTTAAAAAGTTGTCATACTGAAGGTGTGGCCTTATACACCAACGGTGCAACTTGTAGCATGACTTTCCAAAAAATCATCGAAAAATTCATTGTTAAAACAGTTCCTCAAAATATGGTATTTTTCGTGCCGAAAGTTGGATTTTTCGTACTAGTGCTTTTTACTTTCCCATTTTTTTTAATTTACTGTTTTTTTCAAGTCTTAAACATAGAACTAAAGAGGTTGTATATTTATTTAATTTTTATGTGCTTTGTGACGTAAGTCATTCGTCATTAAAACTTACATTTACTTACAAACATCTTATTTGTTTAAATTGCATAGGTGTTTTATAAAACAACGGGTTACATTTAAAAATACCAAAATATTTTCCATAAAGATGGCTGATTGAGTATTAACAACGACCGGAGCTGAATACTGGCAACAGTAGCCACTGTACTCTGAATTTATATAAGACAAAGAAATAAAATGAGTTTTTTTTTCAAATACTGTTTTATTTTACTTTTAATGTAGTTTTTTCGCAAATATATTAAAAAACGTCGTTTGATACACGTGCGGATTTATCATTTTCACTTGTCTCGAGCCTCGAGACACGTCAATAATGACTAACTTTCCGAACTTGTATCAAAAATAACTATTTCAAATTCATTTTCTTTGATATTCAAACACTTTATATCTGATTACTAAATATAATTTTTCAAGAACGATCCCAACCACAACCAGCTCCCAAGATCTATTATCCCAGTATCTAATATTACGAATGTAATAAATATTGATACTTCTCTATAAAAAATGTTTTATTACTTTCGATTAAATAAAAACAAACTGTATAACAATCTTCTACTCCATATAAAAAAATACAATGATTTCCTTTATTTAAATATATACTTAAATCCAATATAAAATATATTTCACCAACATAGGCTATAATCGCTTTCAGTTTTTTTTTATAACATCAAGCGACATGACGAGCTAATCGTGCGCCTCATAGTAAGCTACACGTTTGTCCAAAACAGTTGCAGTGTCACTCAGAGCTATAAATCGCAAAGATCTGAGGGGCACTGGCACTGCGCTCGTCACCCTGAGACATAAGTCGACAAATCCCATGTGCCTGTTATTTCACCCAACCTTACCCTCAAAACCGGAACGCAATAATGCTGAAATTACGCTTGGCGGCAGAAATGGGTAAGGTAGTACTACCCTGGACAAACTCTTTCACCAGGTGCTCTATTGCTACTAAAATGTATACTTAATGTGAACGCACCCGTTATTATATATATATTATTATAATATATCATTACATAACACTCAATTCCATAATTTATTGTTATAAACCACGGATAACATAATGTCATTTTATCTGAATTTAATTTCATATAGAAATAGGATTATTTCTGAAAAACATTATCCCTAAAATTGTAACATATATTATATTAGTTATAATTTGGCCTGAAAACATGTTCGGACATGCAAACAAACTCGTTTATGGAACTCGCCGGCCGCTGCCGCGACACGCTCGCTCGCCTGGTGCCGCTTTTTCATGTTCTAACTTAACCTAACCTACTGAATGATAACCGCAAGCAAGATTGTATACCGGGTGGAAATTTGTAATACCACCTGGAGGGAAAGTACTCTAAATACTGGAGATAGAAATTTTTACTTAAAGGAAACATTCTTTATTTTTTAAAAGAAATAAAACTGCATTCATAGATTTTCGAACATTTGTAGCAACACGCGGGAATCGAATCCGCTTTAATCTGAAAAAAAAATGCACCCTGCGCTTTTATTGCATCGATCGATAGGGTTAATTATAAGAATAAAATCTCTCTCACAAAATTGGTTCAAATGAAAAAAAACCATGAAACCTTAACGTATTTTAATAAAACGAAAAAAATGGTAATCTAACTAATTAGTTGCTCGAAATGAGCTCCATTTCCTTAGATACACAAATTTAATCTTTTAACGAATTCATTTTGAATAACTTTTAATAACGTGTTGTGATGAATTGTATTACAAATCGTATTCTGAACCTCAGCCTTCAACTCGTTTACACTCGCATAGGATTCGATCGATGCAATAAAAGTGCAGGGTGCATTTTTTTCAGATTAAAGCGCTTTCGATTCCCGCGTGTTGCTAGAAATTTTCGAAAATCTATTAATGCAGTTTTATTTCTTTTAAAAAATAAAGGAATGTTTCCTTTAAGTAAAAATCTTCAGTATTTAGAGTACTTTGCATTGTGTGGCATTACATATTTCTACACTGTATATGTATATTGATATGTAAAATACGTTTGTTTAATTTAAATCACCAATCAATCCAGTATATAACAATAATAATTTTGCTGAAATGTAAATTCAGCGTTGTAAACTATGTTAAGGAAAACAACTCTCCCGGCTTTTAAATCACACTCCTAGTATCCAACAGACAAATACCAAGTTATTATTTATGAAAAGTGATATATACCACGTAAAAATTATGTAAATTGACAATATATGAAATGATTGTTATGATACGAGCTTTACATAAAAAAAAATATGTGAATATTATATCAAACAAGAATTATATGGAGTTAAAATTATAGTTAGTGAAATTGGTCCAAATAAAAATTATATTAAATGAATGGTACTTGTTTTGAAATTGGTTTATTTCATTTTCGAATGTTGATTTGTGTCTTGCATAGTTATTTTAAAACATACATTTTAATACTAAGCAACAGCATTGAGAAAATGTAAAACGTTCTGATATAAGTATTTATGCAACGGTTCTGGTGCGTGCTCGTTTATATAAGCTCATTTATCTAGTATTTCTCATTGTAAGTGAATGTTTGTGTTCTGTTTCGAGAAATAAATGTCTTGAAAGAAATTATTTCAATGTATGCACTAGACGTAATAGTCCTTTTTATAAATGGTTCTGGAGTTGTTAATACTCGTTACACTATTAAAATTCTTTAATTTTGAGAATTTTTCACGAGTCGTTAGGGTTTCGTAATAAAATCATGGTTCACGCTTACTTTGTAAACCTTATAATGTGCCTTCTTTTGGAAGAAGCTCCACATTTCTACGAAACTGGTTTGTTCCAAGTAAAAATTTCCCCTCATGTAGTTTTCGATTGGTTCGTATGACCTCCAGCAACGCTCGTTCACCTCATCACTGCCCATGTGAAATAAGTCGGTTGTCACGAATGCTTCTGCAAATTTTTAATCGTCATTCTGATGTAAACGTAAAGCATACTATCGCGAAAAAACATAACTCAAAAGAAAATTAATTGAAATTTATCTAAGTAGACCTGTATTGTAAACGGATATCAGCCGTAATTAAATCGGCACTAAGTAACTAAGACTGCATGCATCGCTTGCGATTTATAGACGATTGCATGGATACAGTCGCTTATGTTCAATCATTATGTACGAAAAATCTGTATTGGCACATTGTTTTGTTTTGTTGATTGTAAATTTAAAGGTTAAATTATTAAACACACTAAATAAATAAATTAGTTAATTAATTTAAAACGTGCATCGCGTTTGTATCGCGTTTGCATCGCGTGAGCATCGCATTTGCATCGCTGCTAGAAGTTGCCGTGTGTTACAGCTCTAAATCTGCTTATATGATATGAATACCGATACGTGACAATCAGTGCCCTGCTATTCAGTTCAGTACCGTGACATGCTATTCGCACTCCTCAGTTGCTGGTCAAATTACAGGCACACGGGACTTGTCAATTTATATCTCTGGGTGACGGGTGCAGTGGCAGTGCCCCTAAAACCTTTGCGATTTAAGGCTCTGAGTGGCACAGCTATGCACAGGTGGTTAGCTTACCATCAGGCGCACGACTTGTTCGTCTTGTCACTTCATATTATTTTTAAATAATCTCAGTACAGAGTATTAAAAAAACCGACCTCAAAAGTGCGTGGAATTACGTCTATTTACTAAGTTTTATTGAAATATCCTGAAATTCGCTACTATACAGGACTTGACACTGGAGATAATAAAAATCGGTTCTCACTACTCAAAGTATATGTAGAGAGAAACGCCTTGAATTGGAGAAATAGCAAAATCAACCATTAAAATAATTGCTCCTTAGTAAAATTTAGGCGCTATTTATAAAAATGAATCTTCATGCATGAACAGCCACCATTAGAGGTGGATGATTTCGTTCAAAATGAAATGGGACCACTATGGAAGTACCCCCTTTCCAACAAAAAAAGAGTCATGAAAATCGGTTCATAAATACAGGAGTTATCGCGTAACATACATACAAAAAAACAGTCGAATTGAGTACCTTCTCCTTTTTTGAAGTCGGTTAAAAAAGATGCCGACGTGTGCCGTGATTAATTTAGACACTTGTAGTATCGCAATCACACGTAACGTCCGTCACGTTAATGAAAATATTCTCAGCTATACATACACGTCGGATCATATCAGATGTCAGGGTAATACATCTGTATTAGTGACATCTGTCACTGATATAGGCGAGCACGGATTGCTTCGTACGCATTTTACGGCACTGATTGTCGTCACGTAGCATTGATATGTGCGAACAGGTATTATCTTTGGAAAGAAAGAAGAACGTACATCGTGTACATCGATGATATCATATGACATTTTTTCTATTGTTTTGAAGCAAAGTTACCAATTGATAGAAAAAAAAGAAATAGTTAAAAATTTAACCTGCCATATCAGTGTAAATGTCCTCCAAATAATTGTACACGTTATCGTCTATTGGGTTGAGTTGTCCACAAGGAGGTTCTCCGCAGTATACCTCCCACGGTTCGACCTATAAAATCTCATATATCAAAAAAATGGCTTATGAAGTTAGAAGCCGCCGTTATCACCAGTGTCATCTTTAATAAACGTGTTATCTATTATCAGAATGCAGCCATGGAATGTACATCCTAAAGGTTAGGTATTCGGCAAAATAATACCAAACCTATAATTGAAGCGTTCACATGATTAGGCGAAGGTGTGCGTCTCGCTGCTACTTTTGTATGGAGTTACCGTACTTGGTCTTCTTCTATTATGTTATGAGTTAAGAAGTGTCGTGAATATGTAGTTATTGTAATTCTAACTAACAAAATTATTAAAATTGGAAATTTTTGGGCCTGCGAAAACCAGCGCACGGGAAGCCAGAGGATATTAAATGCATAAATGTATATTTTATACTAGTACAGTTGGAATAAGACAAAAATTTCAATGCTCTGAGTCGCAAAGAGAAATGCTCCGATATCCATCTCAGGAGCATTGCAATTTATACCAATAGGATCGACCTCGGAGCATCGCGGCACATGTGTCTAAGCGTCTCAGAGCATTGGAATGTGTACCTTATTTCAGTTGAAATAGTATAAAATATACATTGATAAATTTATCGTTCTCTATCTTCCCGTCTGTCGGTTTTCGTTAGCTCTAACGTAAATATTTTTATAATGCTTTGGTAAAAAAAAACGTAAGTACATTAATTAGTGTCAAAATAGGAAAAGCAGCTTACATTGAAACAGACGGTGAGGTTGGTTCCTTGCCAACCTTCGCCAACATGCGCGGGAGCATCTAGTTCAGGAACCACGCGTACTCCTCTCACCAAGGCGAACCTCGATATATCTTGGATTACCTTCTTAGTGTACACCTGAGAAAATCTTCAAATTATTGGTAAAATAGTACCACTTTAAAGATCTGTATATTTGGTAGTAAGTTAGTAAGTTCAAGCGTCGAAGCGTCCTCCCCAGCGACCCCCACCTCTGCTTCCGGCTTTTGGATCGGACTGGTATTTATCACAGAACAATAAATACTGTCAAAATGCTTGGTGGCCATGGCCCGTGCGGCAACAGTACCTGTTTCAGTTATTTGTACTTAATCCGCCATTTTCATGTGTTAATTAGCTCACGCAAAACCTCAAAAATTGTAGAAAAATGCCTAATTTTTAAATCTTTATTATCTTAAGCCTTTATTGTATTTTAATACATTTCCAATTTTCTGTTTATCGTAATAATTTGTTTTGTTACAATTATCGAGTATATAACCAGAAATAGAAACAAAATGTCATTTAATTTGTTTGAACTATTCTGCCGTATCTACTGTGACAAATGCGCTCTGATTGGCCAGCCCGAATTCGAAACAATTGACAGGTGTCGTCAATTGTTTCACTTCAAATCGACCAGTTAACTTGAGTTTTGCTATAATGGACGACAATTGCAAAATTACACGTTTAATATTTAATTACCGATGAAATTGGATTTCGTTTGTTGTGTACTCGTAATTAGACGTTTTGCTGTTTTTCTACACACCACCAAATGAAACTGCACGCCATCGTTAGAGATATTGTCTTTATTACAATAAATACAGAATATTTTTGGAATATACGGAGACGTACACACAGGTGTCAATTGTTGGCGCTTCTACATTTCAGTGCAAATGAGAGTTGATGTTTTTAAGTGATGTATCACTGATGAGTTACCAGAAATATATGGCCCTTATTTCTTTTTTATTTATTTTATTATTTATAGTTACAAGAAACGAAAGTAAAACTTATACCGCTATATGGTGCGACTACCATTTTTTGCACTCCTTATTTACTACCAAGAAAAATGCCTTATTTTACTAAATAAGGCATTCTACGGTTTTCGAGGTTTTGCATGAGATAATTAACACCACCATAACGAACAAAGCAAAAATGACAAACTAAGTTCAAGTAAGTGGAACAGGTGCTGTTGCCACACGGGCCACGCCCACCAAGCATTTCTACAATATTTATTGTTCTGTGGTTAATACCAGTCCGATGCAAAACCCAGAGTCGCTGGGGTCGCTTCATCATCAGTAATTAATTCATTATGACGAGATATTAGTGCTGCCGGATGAGATCCCGAAGAGGGGTCGTTTTTAGGCATTGAACGCACTAAATAAAATACATTTACTGACCTTACTTGGACTGTACGCTCCGATTCTAGACATATTAGGTCTGCGTTCAGAGACAAACGGAAAACTTTGGCTATCGGTGATGTGCCAGTGGAATGAATTCATCTTTACCATTGCCATTGCATCTACAATTCAATGTTAGTAAGGTTTTTTTTGTAATATCAAATGACGACACAAACAAGTCGTGCACCTGGTGGTAAGCAACACGCCTATACAATATTACTATGACACGCATACTAGGGTAATTTTCAGATAAGTTTTTTGTGCTCTATTTTGGTAACAATTTCATTCTATTTAAATATTTATCGAATATCATCATGAAGTATTATTTAATATTCGAATGTGGTAACCCGAAATATTCTTTAACATTTCATGACGATATAATCGAGTAATTAAATAACAAAAATTGTCACCAAAATTGAGTACAAGAAACTTACCTGAAAATTACTGACTACCAGTTGCAGTGCCACTCAGAGCTTTAAATCGCAAAGATATGTGGGGCTGCTGCAGGCCGCTGCGCCCGTCACCCTGAGACGTAAATTGACAAGTACCATGTGCCAATATTTTCACTAGCGCCCTTATCCTTCAAAACCTGAACGCAGTAATGCTAAAACATTACTGCTTGGCGGCAGAAATAGATAAGGTGGCAGTACTACCCTGGACGAACTCTTTCACAACGAATTCTACCATTGCTATTGTTATAGTATATCTATTAACGCTTAAGATAGAAAATTTAATATTGTTTTGTTATTTTGTTGAATTATGACCTTGTTTTGTGTTATATGACTACTATTTTCATTGACTTACAATTATATGGACGTCGGGTCCGCGCTAAAAAGTGTCCGCACTTGTAAGGCGCTAAAATCGTATACAGAGCGCGACACTCCGCTTTAGTCTTCATTTGTTCTACGGACAGCGCGATACTGCGATGACATAACAATTTAAATTTCGAATAGGTTGACTTGGGACATTTTTTTCGTGGTTTTTGTATTAGACCCGTCGTCCATTTATTTGTAAGTCAATGACTATTTTGAATTATTATATACACTGTTCAACTAATAAGTATAAATAAAAAAAAAATAAAAAAATGTGTTTTATTTTCATTTACATAGATAAAAGAATTCTTTTTGTCATGAGGCACACAACGTCACGAAAATATTAATTAATCTTCTCAAACTCAACGCGTAAAATTGCGGTGTCACAGATCATCTATTGATCGTCTATTCGTCTGTTGTTTCCATTTCGAAGTCTTTGTGATAGAACATTAAAACAAAACCCGCAATGATCATACGTTATTAAATGGATGTAGACTATTGCAATTTTAATTATTGTTTGAGTCGATTAATTGATTATTCAAATGAATTTTCTAAATCAAATAAAGTCATTTATTTGCTACAAACATGGTGGTCTAGATAACAAATCGCTTATTTGGTGCTACATACAGATCGCACGCGACTGCTTGTGTTCGGCGCTAGAGTGCGACAACTGGTAGGTTAAAATTGACGGTACAGGCGCCCTATAAGTTTCCGAAACTGGCCACTTACTTACATAAACAATATTAAAAAATTAATTACAACATTTGAAAATGGAGCTCTTTGGCTAAAGAATACAGTTTGTTTCATCTGACTGTCACTTGTTTTTACATTGTGGCGTCATTTTAGAAATTGGTTGTCTACATCACAATGGATTTAACTCGTGAAAATTTTCGTAGTATGATTTTCTACGACTTTAAGTGTAATTTAACAAGTCAGCGGAGTCTCCCTCTGCTTCAAACTGCTTTTGGCAATGAAGCACCATGCAAGACGACTATTTATAGCTAGTTTGCAGAATTCAAACGCGTACGTGTGAATCTCAGTAACGAATTTCGTGATGGTCGCCCGTCCACTGCTGTGAACAACGAAAACATCGATGCTGTGCGCCGTATGATCAAAACAGACAGGCTTGTGACATAACATGAGATTCGGGTATCTTTAGGCATAGGCACGAGTGAAATACAATCAATACTACACAAACATTTGGGTGTGAGAAAGCTGTGCTCTCGGTGGATTCCACACAATTTGACTGAGGCTCAAAAAACAGATCGCGTCATTTGGTGCTATGCCATGCTTTCCAGACTTAACGAAGGGGCGTCAAATTTGGTGTGGGACATAGTAATGGGTGACGAAATATGGATTTATAGTTACGATTCCAAAACAAAGCAGCAATCGAGCGTATGGGTTTTTCGAGTTGAGCCGAAACCAACCAAAGTGGCACGCGTGCAAAGTGCCTCTAAGCGGATGATTGTTTCTTTTTTTAATAAAACTGGACACATGGCTACTGTTGCTTTGGAGAATCGTTGTACCGTGAATAGTGATTGGTATACGACTATTTGTTTGCAAACTGCGTAAAAATAACCGTAAACGCCGTATCATCTTGCACCACGATAATGCCAGTTCTCACACGGCCAAACAGACAAATTAATTTTTGAAGGTGAACAACGTTGACCTTATAAGCCATCCCGCGTACAGTCCCTACCTGGCACCTTGTGACTTTAATTTATTTCCAAAAATTAAGAACCAGTTACGCGGTCAACGATTTTCATCACCTGAAGAGGCTGTCGAAGAGTATGAAAAATATGTTTCAGAGATTGTCACAGAGGAGTGGCATAAATGTTTTCAAAATTGGTTTATTCGTATGAAAAAGTGCATTAACGCTAACGGAGAATATTTTGAGAAACAATAAATTCATTTCTGACCATTTATAGTATTTTTTCTTATTCATTCCGGAAACTTATAGTGCGCCACACGTAGTAATGTAGCGTTAAGAGCTTTCAAATTCATCTAAAATATTAGTTCGTGAAGGTATACATTGTTGAGACTCTACATACCTATAGTCCGCTTAATAGAACTGACAGGATAATAGTTCCTAGACGTGTCTAGCATCAAACCCCTGTAAGTATATTTAGGGCTATCATGAATAGAAGCGCTGGAGACAATCTGAAATAGTGAAAAAGTTTAGAAATTACATGCATATAATTTATAAATTAATAATAATAACAACACACACACTCAACATACCCTGAGTCGCGGGTGTCATGAACACACGCATAGACAACTACAAATTACATCCAAACTTACGAGAGAAATAAACGTATACTTCTCCCATACACATACTTCTCCCAGCCCGGGAATCGAACCTGGGACCTCTGCTGCGGTATTATACGTGGACTTGTAATATTATATTATATTACAAGTCCACGTACCGAGGTTGTGTATTCGGCGTTAACATATAGACTAGATACTAAATAATCCACCAACCCAAAAGGTTGACGATTTCTGAGAATAGATCTGGAAGACCAATCGTCGCGCTATTGTATTATTCAGAGGAATTTATATGTTGTTGCCTAGTAAATAGAATTCAGAATTGGTCGCTTAGAGGTGGAATATTTTCTTTCCTCTTTCTAATAAAAAGAAATCAAAATCGGTTCACAAATCCGGAGTAATCAGGTAACTGACGAAATGAGAACCTCCTCCCATTTGAAGTCAATTAAAATATAAATGGCAGGTTTGTTGTACTTATGAAGCTCTAAAAAAACCTCTTGCTGCAAGTTCAGATGACGAGGGGTGTCTACGCCATCTGATATGGCTATGAAATCCACGGAGCATGTGCAAAGGAGTGACACCATGCATAGTAAATTCATAATTAATTTGTAAAAACACGGGTTGTATTATGTAGAACCTGACATGTAACAAAATAATTATAATATCACTGTATCCGGACAAATATTACACATATTGAATGCATATTATTCATTTACACCCGTGTACTCAAACAAACTAGGTGTAACATGTTGTTTTTTTAATAATGACGTAATTATGTCGTGTCGCTGGCACAGACTATAATGCTTGCCTTAATCGTGAAAGAGTTTACCAATCGACGTAAGTTACTTGCCGATTATTACTCAGGGTGTACCAGGCGTACAAGAAAGGAATGGTACGTGCAGGAGGTTCGAAATTCCAAGTATTCAGGTTACAAATACCAATAAATACACACCTTATAGACTAACACACATAATACAATAAAACACTCTTATAATATAAACCTTAAGGAATAACATACATACAATATAATATTATTTTTAACTAATCTACACAATTGCACTTGTCGACGACGCGTGGCGCAATCTGGTGTCAGGTAACTGGCCGCGGAATCGCCGATACATGACATCCTTCGGCCAAAACTGTTCCTTTATGAAGGTCGATAGATGTTCGGTCGGCGCTCTCACCACAAACGAATTAAAATTTATTTTGTGGCGGAACTCCAACCGTTCCACTCTCAGGGCTTATTCATTACATTCAGTTCATTTCATTAGGCCGTAGTCCGCTACATTGACCCAATACGGGCGGGGGCTTCATACTGTCTCTGAGAGTAACTCGAAAACGGTTCACAACTGTTGTGAACCTTTTTCGACGTGCAGATTTCATAATAATGTTTCCTTTCACCAAAAAGCTCATGGTAAATTTCAAATTAAATATATACACACACAAATTCCGAGAAACTCGAAGGTGAGAGCCTGAATTCAAACTCACGGCCTCTGCTGGAGAAGCGGTAGGTCATTAGACTAAAATGGTTTTTTCTCTCTCTCTCGCAGATTTTTTTTTCAATCTAGTTTTTGAAAAGACCTGTATATATAAATCTCACCAGCGGAAATTTTCTATGATCATCGTAAATAAACAACTGCGATAGAGTTTCAAGTCCGTGACGGACGCCGAAAAATGTTGATCCAGTAATAGTAACGTTGATTTTCTCGATGGAGGCGAGAGTAACGTTCAGATGGTAGCTTTCATCCATTTCCAAAGAGAATTCTGGAACGTATTAAAATAAATATCGAGCTTGTAATTAGGTACTATGACTCGCAAGTATTGGCAACATTCACAAAATACCAAAAGAAAAACAATACAAATACTAGTGGTCAACTATGCACGATTGGAAAATCGCAAAAAAATTACCAAGTGACGAGACAAAGAAGATCGCCTAGTGGTCTAACTAAGTGAATGAGCGACTGAGGAAATTGGGATTGTCATCATTCGGCCAATAGGACATTTCATAAGAGTATGTAGTTTTGCGAATAGGTCTTAAGTCAACAAATCCATGATTAAGATCCACGGACTGATTGGAAAAAGATCGATCAAAACTTCGACTTAAAAACGTGAGGATAATTCAAGAACGTTTTCTATTGAAAATCTTATAGAGTGTCCCACTGTGCTACTGTGGACCAGTGTGCATCGAGTATTTAACGAGAACTAGAGATGAAATTTCATTTAATTTGTTTGAAAACTATCCCGCCATATCATATATCATAATTGTGATAACTGCGCTCCGATTGGCCAGCCTAAATTCGAAACTATTGACGGGTGTCGTCAATTGTTTCACTTCAAATCGACCAGTTAACTAGAGCTTTGCTATAATGGACGTAAAATTACAAGATTACATATTTAATATTTAATTACCGATAAAAAAATTATTCCGTTTGTTTTATAATTAGATGTTTTGCTGTTTTTCCCTTTATTACAATGAATACAGAATATTATTGGAATATACGAAGACGTACACACAGGTCAGTTGTTGATACTGTCTATATTTCAGTGCAAACTAGATTCGATATTTATAAGTGATGTATCATACAAGGAATGTATGGCCCTTATTTCGTCTCTATTTCTGGTTATATACTCGATGCCAGTGTGCGTTGGTCATCCAGAGATATGAATTGACAAGTTCGATGTGCCATTAATTTCACCAGTATCTTTACCCTTCAAAACAGAAACGCATCAGTAATTCGAAAATTACTGCTTTGCGGCAGAAATAAATAGGTAAGATGGCCGAACTTCCCTGGATTAACTCTTTCACAAGGAAGTCTACTGCCACTAAAGTTTTACTCTATTGCTGCTATAAAAATACACTATACCTATTACATCGGGATTTGTCACGTTTAGAAACACATCTATGTCTCGCGCGATTGGACTGATATTTGCTCTATAAGACATTGTCCTAGTAACAATGTTTTTGAATCTCTGTAACATAAATAATTTCACACATATAAAATATTTTATTCATAAAAAAAATCAAATTACATAAACAGCATTTTCTGAAACCGTCATTGGTTGTTGTTAACTATTTTTGTGATTCTTTTATGTAAATTTATTTTTGAAAATTCGTGGAAAATTTGTGAAAAAGTTGAAGAATTTTCACAAAAAGTCAGTTTCAAATTTTCGATTTATTGTCTAGCCAAATTCGACACAGAATGTTTAATAACAATACCTTGCTAAGCAACCAATAACAGCAGGTGTAAAGAACATTTTTTGTCAATGCTCATTATTTAGCCTAGCACTGCCCATGGCCTACTTGCCTAATTGGAATTTAAATAACTAAATAGACAATTGGATTGTATAAAAATACTTACCTGGCTAATTGTTATAAAATTATAGTATGATTTATGAATAAAATAATTAAATTATTAATACCTACTAAAATTAGGTAATCAGGTAATAACGGTAGATAAAAAGAAAAAAATGTAAGATTTTATTTTGTTTTATTTTATTTAATACATAAATTTCGATGACTACATATCTCATCCAACATCAATTTACGATTATGAATTTGAATTACTATTATTCGAACTCGAAAGTTTGCAATTTCTACCTTCAAATAAAAAAAAGTCATTAGGGATGTCACAGTTTTATAAATGTTAATTACCTACTGGTAATTTTTATGTTGGTTTCAAATCACTTCATTTGAAATCACCATTTGAAACTTATGTTAAACAGAATTCATCACGTAGGTAATCGAATTATAACCGCTCACGCGATGCGCTCCTCCTACCGCAAAATGGCGGCTATTTGGTTTCGCAAATTAGAAAAGCATTCAGTTTAAATACAAGTTTTTATAAATAAAAATTATTATTCTG